GATATACTTAATTTCAACAGTCGCTCTATAACAACGCTATAACTCACGTCTCACGTGGCCAACGATATTCTGTCCTCATATATTCAATTACTCATTACCTGTTCCCCGTCAGGTTGTGAACGTCTTATATATACAAGACTAATACATGTCTAGTAAATGCTAGGGCATTCATGAAGGAACAGGATATTTCTAGAAAGACGTGGCGTGATACTAGTCACGTTACCTCGCTGACGCAACACTATCATTGCTAGATTTCTCAACTTGCGCAGAAAACCTTCGAATGGTTGTGTGAAAAATTCAAAACAAACCCAACCAATTCTTTGAAGCTAATCATTTCACCATTCTTTTGCCAAGATATTTAAAAAGACAATCATTGTGAAGAAGTTATGCAGCCTGTTCTTCTGGCCAAGAACATATTCTTCTTCCCAACCTCTACTTAACTTTGGAGATTGCAATATGGATTGTATGGCTGTACAATGTCACTAAAATAAAATCCAGTTTTATCAGCATTTACACCACAGTGAAATTTCATCTTATCACTAACTAATTTGAGTTCTTGGGTAAAATAATGCGTGGCATCAATGGTATTTCTTAGTCTCACTGCACCATTGTGTTAGACTGCTGACTAATGGTACTAAAGCACTTTCAGTCATCAGTGATGCTGATGTATTGCCTATAGCTTCATGTTTTGCTGCTTCATAATTATTGAGTAGGAATGGAAGATATTGATCCGAAGTTTCCTGATTAAGGTATTGTTACGACAGCGGAAGTCACATGACGCTAGTAACACGTCATGAGATTCTTGTCCATTTCACAGTACAAGCATTCTTCGGTAACATAAAGACTTTGGAATAATGCTTCAAAATTCATTCAGTCCTGTCCAGGGCAATGCACAATGTTAAAGTTGTAATTTGGAAGTTTCTAGAGCAATCTTACTCACTGACCCATTTATTGTGGAAATTCATCAGTCACTTTAATGCTGCATGATCTGTCCAGATCTGTCGTGTTGGTCATAGAGGTAGTGATTGGAATCACTTGGAGATCGAATTAAAGTAGTTATTTTCAAATTGTATTAAACTTCCTTTCTGCAGCATTCACTGTATTGCTGTAGTAAGTGATAATATGATATTTCCCAAGCAGTATTTGTGATAATACTGATCTCACTGCAAAATCGTTAGCATGTGTATCTCCCAAAAATACTCCAGTAATTCAGGATGGCAATCTTTGCCTTTTCTATTTGAAATATATACCAAGTAATTTCAGCCAGATTTACAACAATATTTTTAATATCATGCCAAAAACAAGTGATGTCATGTTCAGTACTGACAGTTACAAGGCAAACTCGATAATATCAATGGAGCGACAGAGGCGAGTCATTGGAGAGAAACTCATAATAAAGGGTGAAAACACTAAGAAATCACGTGATTGGAAACTGTTCCTAGCCAACTATGAGAACAAAGTGCAATTCATTCAGCTTCTCTGCAGGCTTTGGTGTTAGAATGCCCATGCAAATAGGCTCCAAAGAAGAAACTTCATGCTCGTTTATGAGGGGCCGGCATATTTCCTGACATCTACTGATGATCAAATAACAAACAAGACTGAAATACAGACTCTCAAATCATCCCAAGGAGAAACGGACTCAAGAATAATCTTATTGTTACGACATCGAGGTCACGTGACTAGTATCACGCCACATCATTCTCGAACTTTCACGTCTTTTCCTTAAATCTCGTGATCTTTCTAGATATAGTGTAGTATTGTATATATAAGACTGGCCACGAAGCAAC